TTCTTCGTGATTATATTAGGCAGAATTCGGTTAATGATCATCTGTTTTCTTCTGCTAAGACTGAACAATTTTCTGGCCAAATGATTTCTCAGGTGCCTTCTCCAACCCCAAATTAGGGTCTCAGAAGTGATCAAATGAGACAGATGACTATCACAGATGATAAATTTATAAAGCAAAGTCCTGCCAATGACTGACTGGAAAGGATAGGTTTTTATCTTTCCTTTCCTACATAGTGCCAACTGCTTTTCCTAAATACGTGAAATAAGCTCAGAACTGTAAGACTGTATTTAGAAGTCATTGGAGTCTCGTGATTTTTTGATAGTAACCTCATGGCATCCAACCCTCCATTGTTATCAAATGTTTTTGGACATTAGACACAGAAAGTGGCTAAGCTTATTGCTGTTAGAATGTGTCAGTAAATGAAAAGGGAGAGTCAGACAACTTGGCATAGAAAGCACTTCTTCAGGGCGCCTGGGTGGCTCAGTCGGTTAAGCTTCTGATTCTTGATTTCAGCTCAGGTCATGATCTTCTGGTTCCCAGGTTCCAACCCTGCATCAGGCTCTGTGCTGTCCACTTGGGATTCTCTCTCTCTCTCTCTCTCTCTCACTGGCCCTCCCACATGCACACTCTCTCCCTCTCAAAATAAATATTAAAAAAAGAGAAAAGACTATGTTAAAAAAAAACAAAAACAAAAACAAAAAAGCAAAGCACTTCTCCAACGCAGTGAATATTGTTGGTTCTCAGCACTGTCCATTTGTCATTCATCGCCTTTCCTCTCATTAGCTTTATGCCATAAAAGTTTTGAAAAAATAAGGAAAGGTGATGATGCCCCAGTGTAAAGAAAAGTTACATGTCCTTGAAAAATCTTCTTTTATTCATCTAAAGAAAATCATTTGTCATCACTATTTTACCTAAGTTTACAAAGTAAGCAATTATGGTATCACTCAATTTTCCTATTTCAGCTTTTAGAAGTGTCTTGACATTTTCACAATGTTATTTAATAAGTGACCAGTACTGCTGACAAGACTAATACCAGAGGATAAACCAGAATTGTCCAGGAAGAAAAATTTTATAATGGCTTCAGGAACCGTATATACCCGTTTTGAAAGAGAATCTAAACTGCCAGCTAAGTCTAAAGTCTTGCTTTCTTCTAATCCATGTAGTACTCAGTGTGTATCATATCATTTGGCCTGTAAAGTTTTTGTACTTTTTACTACCCCCAAACGGTCTTCTACCTGAAATCTTATGTTCTCTACTCAAAGGAGGAGTTCAGGAAATATCTGATGAATTACCCCCAAACGGTCTTCTACCTGAAATCTTATGTTCTCTACTCAAAGGAGGAGTTCAGGAAATATCTGATGAATGATCTAGCCTTAATGTTTGTGTTCCCCCGAAGTTCATATGTTGAAATCCTAATCTACAGTGTGGTGGCATCTGGAGGAGGCCTTTGGGGAAGTGATTAGGTCATGAGGACAGAGCCATGTGAGGACACAACAAGAAGAGAGCCTTCACCCCACCAAGCCAGCACCCTGATCTCAAACTTCCAGCCTCCAGAACTTGAGAAATAAATTTCTGTTGTTTATGTTACCCTGTCCGTGGGGTTTCGTTACAGCGGCCTGAATGGACTAAGACAATGAGTGAGTGAATAGATTATGTTTCCAATTAATTCTTAACCTTGAAGGCTGGGACTCCATCTCCCCCTACAAGGCAAGGCAGTGTTAGTCATAAATATTTTTTCCCCAGGAATGAACCATTCGAAAGAGAAAAGAAAGTGGAACACGGCCAGAGTGAGAATTGAAAGTTTCACAGATCCCTGACGAGAAAATCATTAGGGGCTGTTGGAGTGGTAAGGAAGAAGGCTCAGCTCTCTAAAGGGACTGCTGGGCCAGGGGATGTGTGAAGGAACCTAATTATGGCATGCATTAGTCAGAGATAGTGGTGTATTTAAAGCAGGCACTTAGAAGCCCAAGGAATGCTCCTTGCTTTCAGTCTGTTCCCTCCTTTGTAAAATGAGGTATGTGATGCTGCCTTGAGAAATAAAGAAAATGGCACAGCACCTTGCAGATGGTGCTATGATGTTGTGTAATAATACACTGTGCTTTCAAAAATAGAGTATTTAATTTCGCACAGGCAACTTACTAAACGATGACAGAGACCCAGGACTACAAAGCATGGCAACGAATTGGAATTTAAAAAGATCATGAACTCCCAAGGAAGTCGGAAAACAATGCCAACAAAGTTGAGTATGTAAGTTGACAAACATTTTCTACAATTAGAAATTCTGAGTTATAAGCTCAGAGTTCTAGAAGATGGGCCCATCAAGCCAAGGGTGCCCTGACAACAATTCCTGGTGAATATGGAACACCTTTGCTGTTGTGAATATTTTATTATTCACTCATTCATTCATTCTCCATTCATCCATTCACTGAGCATATTCTATGGGCCAAGCATCCTGGAGATGCTAAGGACAGGATGGTATGTGCGACAGACATGGCCCTTTCTTCATGGCATGTACAATTTAGTGAGGAATCTGACTTTTAGCATCATCTCATAGATGCACTTATAGTTAGACCTCACAGGGCCTCACAGTTCACTTCATTCAGGACCCTACATTTCTAAGGACACTGAGGCCCAAAAGAATGATAGTAATTGCTCAAGGTCTTGGAGCTACTGCTATTAGAGAAGGGAGAAAGCAGGAGCCTCTGTCATTTCAGTAATCTACTGCACTGACAGAAATGGGAGGCATTTCACTTCCCCACTTTGTACATTAAAAATAGAGTACATAAACCTTTTTTCAACAAAAACAAAAATATCACATTACACCTGGTTCAGAGAAAGTATTCTAGAACAAAGAAGAAAATGAGTTAGAACCTCTGGAAAGGAACAACGTAGACAGATCACAAGACAGGGCTGCCAGATAGATCCCTTAGCATTAACTTTGCACCAAACTGCTCCTATGTACGTTGTTTTCTTCAATCTTCTCAACCCAATGGGAAAGCTACTTTCAGTGTCCCCTCTTTACACATAAGAAAACCCAGACTCAAAAAGGTAAGTAATCTGTCAGAGTCTCATAGCTCTATGTGGTCAGGATTCCCACCTAAATACTGCTTAGTGTTCTATCATATTGCCTCCTAGAGGGAATCTGAGAGAAAAAGACTAAATCAAAAAGGAATTAAAAGAATTAGGGAAAGGGATGAAGAAAGACAACACCAGAGAAGAGAGTGGAAGAATACTTTCTGCCAACTCTCAGGGTCTGCATCCTCATGTTTACTCTGAATTCTTCAGCTAGAGGCATACCTGATACACCTGCATCCACTCAACTCACACCTTCCCTATCCCTAGCCACTAAAATGCCCAGAATCCCTCCCTCACTCCTCATGGCAATGAACATTTCTTGACTCCAGTAGCCTTTACTTATTATCAGTCCTTGCCTCCCATTCTACTTAAAAGATCGCTCTCCCTTCTATATTCCAGTTGGCCAATATCTTCTGCTTATTTAGACAACTGCAAGAATTTTGGAGACCTGCTATCTTCCAGTCAGTCACTGACTGGCCAGATACCACATGGCTACCATGGATACCATCTCTCTCCCCAAAGTCCTGTCCCTCCTGAAACTTCTTCCTGACAAAGCTCTCTCAATGCCACCTGTGAGGCAAGAACACCTTGAACTTTCTGTACTCCTACTAGAATACAAGAACTCTTGTTAAGGATCCATGCACAAATATCTATGGGATATTTATATATCACATATAAATATGGGACTTGTCAGAGGTATGAAAGACAAGGATGGCTATCTGATTTGACTTAAGCCCACATCTGTGGATATGCCCCATAAAATATAATGTATTGCATTGTAGACCAGCATAATACCATTTTAAATTTAGATATTATGGTTCACAGATAAATCAACTTAGTAGGGAACTCCTTGGGAGATTTTTCTATCTGACCCAGTGATCAAAAAACAGGCCTGATCCTGGGCGCCTGAGTGGCTCAGTCGGTGAAGCATCTGACTTCAGCTCAGGTCATGATTTTGTAGTTCATGAGTTCCAGTCCCACGTCGGGCTCTGGGCTGACAGCTCAGAGCCTGGAGCCTGCTTTGGATTCTGTGTCTCCCTCTCTCTCTTTCCCTCCCCCATTCATGTTCTGTCTCTGTCTCTCTTTCAAAAATAAATAAACATTAAAATTTTTTTTAAAAATTAGGACTGATCCTAGCCAATGCAATAAGTCAAGAAAAATAAATAAAAGGCAAAAGGATTAGAAAGAAAGAAATAAAACTGTCATTATTCACAGATGGCCTAATTGGGTATGCAGGAAATATAAAAGTATCCACAAAATAAAGAATCAATAAGCTAATTTATGAAGATGATTGGCAACAAGGCTAATATGAAAAGGAACTATTTCTGTAGACTTTTAAAGTCTAAAAACTAAATTTATAATCGCAACAAGTGACATTAGATACCTGGGAACACATCTAATAAAAGACATGTAGGATGCCTCCGCTGAAAACTACAAAACCCAAGAAAATTGCAAAATTCTCAATAGAGGACTATATCATGTTCATGGGTTGGAAAGCTTAATATTATAGAGATATCAATTCTTCCCAAATGTATCTATAGGCTCAATGTAACCCCTAACTAAATGTCAGCACTACACAGAAATGAGAATAAAGAAATTACAATTACACTGAACAACATGGAATCTCAAATATATGTTGAGTGAGAGCCAGACACAAAAGATTTAGGTACCATTAGAAAGGAGATGGAACTAATATATGGTGTTTAAGGCCAGGATCAAGGTTACTCTGAGGATAGTGCCTGTTCAGGGGCCACAAGAGGTCTTCTTGTATTCTGAGAAGCTTTCTGGGTCTTGATCTAAATGCTTGTACAGTTTGTCAAACTGTAGTCTTAACAATTGCTCTGTTATTTCAAGTAAGTTTCTCTTTTTTAATTAAGCATTTTAATTTTAATTCCAGGATTGCTCATATACAGTGTTATTTTAGGAAAAATATGGAATGCTTCATGAGTTTGTGTGTCATCCTTGCACAGGGGCTGTGCTGATCTTCTCTGTGTCGTTCCAAGTTCAGTATGTGTGTTGCTGAAGTGCGCCCAAATTTCTCACTTTTACAGAGGGCAGCCCTGTTCAATAGCATCATTGAGCTAATTCTTATGAAGATTTCTCAAATTAAAAAAAAAACAAAAACCTTTCTTCTGTGAGAGTAGAGAAGCAGTCTTCCAAAGAACTAACCCAATTGTTTTAAAACAGAAAAAAATAGACAAACTGGCCCATTCAAGAGAAATAATAATTCCCTCTGCTGACAAAATCTGTTTCCTGCCCACAAGTACAGGCTTGTGGACTCTGTCCAAGGGAGCTACCCCATGCCAGTGCTGGCAGTGAACTTCACTATTACAGCACATATGATCAAAACAAAGGAAAACACTTTTGGTGAATGCTCTGATGAACGACAGTTTGACTCGAAATGAATTTATTTTTTTAAGAAAGACAAAATCCACCTTGTCTAATAAGCCTTTCCTTTAGTGCTTCATCATCATCAAAGTTTCAATTTGCCACTAACTTTGTTGTGAATACATATAACATTTAGGTAGTTACTGAGTGTTAAAGAAACTGCCGATCAGTTACACTGCAGTCTGAGGTCGGGGAAAGATGAAGCCCACTTCACACACAGGCTTTGCCTACCTTCCCCTGCTAGTTGTCATTCAGGTTTTGTTTTGGGGGTTTCTTTCTCCCTTCTTCAGTTTCAATACCTTCATCTGGGACAGACTAATCTTTCCCAAATCAGCTGTGCAGGCCTGCCCCCCGGGGAGGACCTTATTTGGTCACACTTGACAGTCATGATCTTCTTACTTTACATGGAAAGTTGTGTCTCATGACGGAAGTTGACCAGAATACCAACACCTGCTGCCAAACGGCATGTCCATGAGGCTAAGTCTGAGGTGGCCAGGCTAGGTCTCTTGAGCCTCAGAGCACTTTTGAACAAACATGATGTGGAATATAGCCGTGGTCAGAGGCTTTCGAGATTCTAGGGTCATAATCCTAAAGCGAAGGTTTATTCTTAAGCTTACTGCTCTCTTTGCCACTGTCTTTAGGTCACTGTTCATCACTTAAACCACTACCATCCCACTTTATTTCCCTCCACAGAAAGGAAATTAGTACTATTTACTTCAAGAATGGGGTATGGAGAGAGCCCAAGACATCTGCCTATACTGTTCTTTGGTTATGTCAGTGAGTGGGGCATGAGGAAAGAAGGCAGAGGGAAAGACCATCAAGCAGAAGGACATATGGATATGAAAAGGACAATGGTAAAACAGAACCAAAGAAGCCACCCAGAAAGAGCAAGTGTGATCTCTTCTCTTCTCATTTACCCTTACTCGTCAGAGTGCCCCAGTGGCAGAGACCAGAAGGCTAAGTCACCAGATGTAGTGTCCCTTGGGACCTGTGATTTGAACAGCACAACAAAGCCAATAGGCCTGCTTTCCAATATACTGCTGCCTTCCTTAGCTCTGGCCTTTTCTGGACAAATTTGGAGACATGATGCAAATAGCTAGCTAGTAAGAAGAAGATTCAATAAAATTAGGCTTATTTTTTAAATTCTACTACATTACCAGAAGAGGTCAGAAATAGGTCTTTATTTTAGGGCTGAGTAGATTAAAAATTCATTTCAAGCATAAAATATATTCCTAATGTCTCAATATTCTTTGTAATTGCTATTGAAGTCCTAGTGAATGACAAGGACAGGAGATAATACCCTGTTCTGGGAACCAAGAAGGTTTAAGGGAGATAAAGTAAGTGGATAGGTTCTGGCACTTCAAAAGAGCATCTGGAAAAGGAGATGCCTTTTGGATTTCCAAACCAAATAAGAAACATGTTCAAACCCATTGGAATAGTTAACACGAATTTTGCCTGGCAACAGTTTCCAAAAATAAAAATTCGAAATGTTATCAAATGCAGTTAGGGGGCACAAGATCTAAGAGCAGAATTAGAGGAGATATGGGAGACTGTGCTATTTTCTTTGATATTTGACACAGCTAACCTTGATAAGCATAAATTTAAAAACTGAATATAGAGAAAATTCATCCATAAATAGTAAAATCAACTATTTAGGAAGCTGTGCCAAAAAATTTCAATGGTTTCCTCAAAAGCCCTCTCCTCAAACACGTGTGCACAATCTATCTCTGACCCAAATGTCTCTATCTTGCTCCGTTCTTTTCACTAGTATTTTAAGGTCAACACAGTAACATGGATAGAAGAGTGAGAGAATCAGCACCATACAGGGCATTTCTGTGCCTAAGGCCAGCATTTCTGCATGTTTGCATTTCTATATGTCCTTTAAAAACATACCCCCCAAAAGTCAACAGCTATAAACCAACTGTCTAGGACCCTTCAAAAAAAGTCAATATTATGGAAAAAAAAAAGGGATAAATTTTTGTAAAGAAGATAAAAAAGATATAAAAATAAATACAATATGGGTGTCTGAGTGGCTCAGTTGGTTAAGCATCCAACTTCAGCTCAGGTCGTGATCTCATAGTTTGTGGGTTCAAGCCCCGTGTCGGGCTCTGTGCTGACAGCTAGCTCAGAGCCTGGAGACTGTTTCAGAATCTGTATCTCCCTGTCTCTCTCTCTCTCTCAGAAATAAACAAAACGTTAAAAATAATTATAAAAAAATAAATACAATATTTAATTCTTAATTGAATCCTATATCAAAACCAAGGATAATAACAGCTATAAAAGGCATTTAGGGAACAGCTGGGGAATTCTGAATATTACTGCATAAAAGTTAATTTTCTTAGGCTATGTAGAATATCCTTAATCTTTGGAGATGCACACTGAAGTATCTGGGGGTGAAATATCATGTCTACAACTTGCTTTTGAATGGTTCAGAAAGAAAAAAGATATCTATACACAGAGAAATGAAGCAAATATAGGAATGTTTTAAAAATCAGTAAGACAGATATCTGTCCCATCTCCCCTGAGATATCAGAGGAAAAAAGTGTCTTCACCTTATGGTTGACTAACAGGTCAGAAGTAGATATGCTAAGAACTTCAAACCATGCATTCACACATGAAGAAAGTTATCCCGGGCCCATTACCAAATTGGAAGGATATTATCCTGTTTATCCTTTACCAGGTTTGGGTGATATAGCCCCAGGAATCTAAAATTACACAAAGACAAATGTTGGTCACACTCTAACATCTAAGCCAGTAGTTCTCAAATACTTTTTTTTTTTGGCCCTGGTCCACTTAGGAGAAGGGAACATCCAAGAGAAGGCAAAATGAAAAGTGCCATTGCTATCATCATGACTATGGCCCATGGCCACCTCTACCATTGCCTGAGTAAAAAGACAATAATCACACAAGTACCAAATATTAACAAAAGTTAAAATCTATCAGCAATTCCACATACATATTAATAAATACATATTAATACATACATAACAGGAACTAAAGCATATGCCCAACTCAAGACCACAAAACATTCTTGGGGAAAAAAATGGAGAATGTCTACTCCCTGTAAATATACATATGGACAACAGGTTTAGAACACTACCAGAACACGTGGACAATTTCTTAGATTTTATCCCCAGAGGCCTCAAGAAGACACAATGTAGTCATCAGCAATCTGTGATGGTTGGGAGAATTATAGCTCTCTTCTTTGAGGTTCTCCTTCATTCTCTTCCCTTCTAAGCAGCTAATTTGGCTCCTTCTGTCCATAAAGGGTGGGCAGGGCCAGGAGCAGAAGCTTGAAATGGGCGGCCTTGGCCTTTGGTGCTCTGAGCCTTAGGGGGAAAAGGGACAAGTTTCAGAAGGCTCCAACTCGTCCAACCTAGCCTCCTAGGCTAAATCAGAAAGGAATGTGGACTAAAAACCTAAGTTGTGTTTTAAAAGTATGTAGGCTTGGAGAATCCCCTGCGCATTTATGTTTTGGGAATCAAGGATGGCAGTAGGACTCTGCTGTGGAATCAAGGCTCTCTACACAACTCATGAGAAACATGACAAACATCTGGTGCAGCCGACACCCAGGTCAGCACACACATACAAGGGCTAAGATTTCAGGACAGACTTCTGCAATCTCAAACTGTAAGAAGGGCTGCATCTGTCCTGGGCAAAATCCTCCATGAAGAAATTAAGGCTTCCTCTCTGGGACTGAATTTGGTATCAGTAGGTAGAGGGAAAGTTCTCTTCAGGATTAGCACAGTGGCAGTATTCAGGATTTTAGACTGGTGATTAATCATGGTGGTGGTTACTGTGTTGATTACCCCAGGTTATTTTTTTCTTACTTGTCATGTTACTTGTTGGGGGCCAAAGGACTGAGTATAATCACCCTGGTGGCCTATTTCCGGGACCTCATCAACCATGAGGTAGAGAATTCATCAATTAGCAATTATAGAAGCCCTTTCTATATGGCCAATATTATCTTCAGAACAATAAATAACACAAGAGCCAATTTAGGAACTGATAAAGCAAGTTCCCGGAACATCTGGCTTCAGGAATCAGATTTCTTCTATGCAGTGGGGAAAACCTGCAGTCAGCAAAAGAGCGGCTTCAGGAATTGGGTGTGTGGACAATAAACAAACAATACCCCACTCTGTTGTTCATTATTTAGAGCTGGAAACTTGGGGTAACACAATAAGCTGAAGACCAAAAAAGACTCTGACTTTACCTTCATGGCATGGACGATGGGAAAAGACAGGTCCAAAAAACAAGGTGAGGGTTACACTGGTATTGGGAAAGGGCTAACCCAAGAGTGAGGTTCAAGTCTTATGACCCTGCATGAACGTGGCTGGGGAATACCGGAGTGAAATAACAACAACAACAACACACACACACACACACACACACACACACAAACAAAAAAACCCAGAGCCAGGTCTTTCTTGCTCAAGGAGAAGAGGTGAGGGAAGAAGACACCCTTTTTTGCCCATAAGAGTAGATGAGGTTATACCAAGTATTTGGAAATTCAAGCAAGAGCCGGAAAGTTGTTGGGGAGGCATGCCCAGGAATCCCACTGGTGAGCTCTTATTAAAGGTGATAGGTATTTGCTTGAAAGACAGTGTGGAGATTGGGACTCCAGAGAACTCACTCTCAATTC